AGAGAGAGAGAGAGAGAGAGAGAGAGAGAGAGAGAGAGAGAGAGAGACAGAGACAGAGACAGGTGTACATACCTCAAGATTGCAATATTAAGTACTGGGATACTAAATTGAATATTGACCACAGGTTTAGCAGAAAGTCAATCTGGAAGAATTAAATTCATATAGTAAAGGGAGTATTTTGATTTTTGGTGTTAGGTAGACCTAATTTTGGATTGTTTTCCTACATCAGTATGTGACTGAGAATGATTTTCACTCTTCAGAGTGCATCTGCAAGGTGGACATATTACAGCTTCCTTCACAAAACTGTTGAAAGGATTGAGTAAGATATTCCCCCAAAGTGCTTATCACAGAACAAATGCTCAAAGCAAGCTAGCATTTTAAAGAAGTTAAAAATATGGGCTTGTCTCAGATGCCTCAGTAGGTCAGTTGAGGATGGTATGAATGTTGGGAGCTTGGGAGTTGACCAGCTAGGCTCAGATCATGGAGGCATCCAGAACCCCAAAACTTCCGGTAGAAATAACACTGCCTGGGGACACACTAACACCCAGTACACCAAACCTAAAACATTTGCCCTAACCATTGTTTAGCTGTAGAAGCAAATGAAAGGAAATGTGGGTGTGTGTTGGGGGGTGGGGGAGGTGTGTTTTCCAACTACTTGGGAGACAACCCGTGCTTTTCATCATATCACATGAAAGCTCCAGGAGGATGCTGACGTCTTTCTTTGGTTAGATTCTACCCTGCAATTTCCACAATCCCTGTCAGTTTTAGGAAGGTGACACGGATTTGTCAGAGTAGATTATTGGTGAGACTGTTAATCTCTTATAGACAGTGATGAAAAGTAGTGAACTAACGTTGCAGTACGAAATTTACTCTGTAAAATTGTCAAACTATTTTCCACCTCTTAGTATAATTAGCTGATGTAGCTGAGTGGTGGTGGTCCTACCTACCATTGAATGTTTATTGTACCTCTATTTAAATATTTAAATGATGTCTGCAGTTTGAAAACTTAAAAGAGTTCAGACTCTTGGCGCCAAAACTTGAAACTAGTTTTTAGTGTTTAGCTGTGTGACTGTTCAGCTACCATATTCCCTTAAAACTACATCTCCCAGCATGCTTTGAAGCTGGTCTGACCTCATTTCAAATGGCCCCGTAGGGTAACAAGGCTGGTTACTTTTGACCGTGCTACTTGTGCCATCAAAAAATTGATCCCAATTGGCAGTTATTTGGTTTTTATATCTGTCAGGCACCCTTTTTGAACTGTGATCATCCGTAGAAGGTATCTGGCCTGGAAGGGCCCATCCATCCCCGCAGTTGGACGAGGGATCAAGGAAATTGTCTCTGGCGATCTAAATAGGAGGGAATGTTGACAAGGGAGCACCGCTGGGGCCGAACAGAGGAGCAGGAACCGGAGCTCAGGCTGAGTCTGAAAACTGTTGGCTCCAGACTTTGGCTCGGGGACGGTGAAAGTGGGAGATGGAGATGCCAGATGAACCCGCCAATAGTGGAAATTCACTACCCCCGGTTTATATTTACAGTCCCGAGTATGTCAGCATCTGCGACTCCCTTGCGAAGGTCCCCAAACGGGTAAGAGAGATCTGGATCAAAGACCACGGTTTGCCGGGATCGTGGTAGGAGGGTGTGAAAGGGAGTGCACTAGGAAGCAGGGAAAAACTGGATTAAAGGATACCTTTAGCAAAAATTTCACTAGCAGTGCCAGGCACGCCAAGCTGAAGCAGAAGGAAGTGGTTACCTTCAGAGAGCGCAGTGGGGCATCCAACGCTCGAGTGGGGGGGGGGGGGGGGGGGAGGGGAAGGATTGGCGAAGAGGTGGTGGAATTACCAATAGGAAGTCCTGGACCACAAACTGTTAGGCGAGAGTATTCCATCACTTGTGTTAATAAGGCTGGGAAGCTTCGAGTCTTGGCGATTTTGATACTTTGTGTTTGTCTTAAGTGTATTCTGTTAAAGTGACAGAAGGGATAAGAGAGAAAGTAGTTAGTTCTCCACGGAGGATGTTGTTAATGACATTTCAGTAAATTGAACCTTTCTTTTATGCTGTTTCAGGCCAGTATGGTCCACTCTCTGATCGAAGCATATGCCTTGCATAAACAAATGAGGTAAGTATGTTGACCTTTCTGAACGTGATCATTTATGAGGGCAGGTGTGTTCACAGCCTTAATACTTTGTCTCCTAGTGGGACTAACCAGGGAGGAATGCTGCTTTAAAAAAAAAAAAAAAGCTTTCGTGGGAGTGTTCAGAGTCTTTGTTAGATGTCTGTACCCCTCAGGAAAAGCTTTTGACGGATTGAGAACGAGAACACTTGGAAAAAGCACACAAAGGAGTTAAGAGTCATTAGACATGGACTTTGCTTCTAGACAGGTGGGGGTGTGTTAAGCAGGAAAATGTTCAGTTTTGACTTATATTTGGTCCGGATTTTGTTTTGTTTGTTTTCTCAAGCTAGATTTGGGGATGTGGGTTCAATTTGAGACTTTTAGTTCTGCTACCCCACCCCGATCACCACCAAACTTTAACCTGGTCTCTGTTGACCACACAAGAAAAGCTAGCTACATGCTTCTCAAAGACAAACAAGCCAAAATCAAGCTTTCTGTTGATTGCCAATTCTATATTTAATGTCATAAATGAAACTATTATGGACCTGGCACACGTCAAGTCAGGGTTTTCTCATTACTAGCCAACTAGGTGACTGCCTGTGTCACCTAATGCTTCATTTTCTTCAGAGAAAGTAATAGCATAGGTTTTCAGATTTTATCCTTAGTATTCAGTCATTTTTAGTGTGTCCATTCTTTACGAATGTTTTGTTCTTTTGAGACAGGGTCTCACTGTGTAGCTCTGGCTAGCTAAAGAACTGTTACATCAACCAGGCTGGTCTTGAACTTACCAAGAGCCACCTGCCTTGCCTCCCAGATGCAGGATCAGCAGGTGTACATCATCATACCCACTAGGAAGGTTTTTCTACCTACACTTAACTCCTGTGTTCATCAAAATAACTACTTGCCTCTCCTTAAAGTATTTTAACATTTTTCTGAGCCTGGTGGTGCAGGCCTTTAATGCTAGGCCTTTGGAAGGCTGAGACAGGAACATCACAACTTCAAAGCCAGCTGGGTAACAGCCACACCCTGTCTCAAAATAAAATTTTTAAAGGGGGTTAGGATAGTGTTCAATGTGTAGAGCACTTGCCTAGCATATAGGAGGCCTAGCCCCCCCCCCCCACACAAAATTAACACTTAAAAAATTTTACTGCAAACAAGATGTCAAAGCAAAAGTCCCTAGTTTGCTGTTAAGCAGGGGCTGGCTGTCAGTCTTCTGTTTTAGTGAAATAGATGGGGAAGTGCTGTGAGGGAACAGTTAGAAAGCTGGGAAACACAATCCAATAGCTTGGGAAGAATGAAAACAACGTCTCACTACATAGCCTAGGCTGCCCTAGAACTCATTAGGAGAGATCAGGCTGGCTTTGAATTCACAGGGATTCCTCTGTCTCCTGAGTGCTGGGATTAAAGGCATGAGCCATTGTACTGGGCTTCTTGATGTTTTTATTTTAAACAGTTTATTACATTGCATTTATTCATTCTGATGGCATCTGGGGGCATGAGGGGATGGTCAAGTGCCACGATACACACTTGGAGGTCAGGAAAGAACTAGCAAGAGCTGCTTCTCTCTTTCCACCATGTGGGTCGTGGGGATTGAACTTAGGTTTCCGGGATTGGCAACAAGTGACTGCAGCTGAGCTATCTTGCTGGCCCTAAAATTTTATTTTAATAGACAGTCTGTTCACCTCTCGTGGGGTGGACGTGTACTTGAAGAGAAAACAAGAATCCTTTTGAGGTCGAACCACAGGATTTCAAACACCTTGATTATACTAGTTGCCTAAATATCCAACCTGGACTAGTTCACAGTAAACTCATGGTTGTACTTCCATTCAGAAAACATACATGGCTACCTTTCTGTGGCTAGAGCAGTGCTCCTTCCATTTGAATGGGCAATTGTCTTGTTAGGATATACATTCTTGTTAGAATACAAACTGTGGTTTACTAGGCTTAGGTTGAGACTTGGGTTCTGGCTTTCTAAGGAAGAAATGCCACAGTGCTCCTGCATTGACTGCCTGTTCAGCAAGGGTTAGAGAATGTACCTGTAGCAGAATCTCTTAGACAAAATGGGAAACTGGCAGGCAGAAGCCAGGAAGCCCATGGAACTCACTTCCTTTATTCACGCTCTTTTTGTCCTTTACCGTGAGGAGCTGATTGAGAGGTTCCAGGCGTTTGTTCCATCTCTCCTTCCTCTGGGAGATAGCTGTAAGAGACCAACTAATAGGAACTTTTTATGTTAGTGGACTCTGGGGAGATGGCATAGAAAGGAAGAACATTTGTTGTGCAAGCACTGGGCCCCAAGCTCCCTAGAATCCACAGCAAAGGCTGGGTTTTGTCACACCTATGTGTAAACTCAGTATCTTGGCAGGGGTAGACAAGAGTCAGAATACTTGCTGGGCTTGGTGCTCACCAGTCTAACTCCAGGTTCAGATGCAATGAGAGACTCTTGTCTCAGGTAAAGATGCATGAGAGTTATAGAACAGGACATGTGACATCCTTCTCTGGCCTCTGCGCATGTACAGACTTACAAAGTCCCATGCATACATACATGATCATATAGTACCTCCCCGCCACCACTAAATAAAACCTTTTTATATTTAACTTCTCTTTTTCTTTGAGACAGGGACTTACAGAACTCAGTCTGACCTAGAACTGACCTTACACTCATCATCCTCTTGCCTCTAAAGTGCTATGAGTACAGATATTTGCTGCCATATCTAACGTGTTACCTTTATATGTTTGGGGGTGAATGGGAATCAACCACAGGTCCTTGTACATGTAGATTTTATGACTGAGCTACGTTCCCAGTCCAGTTCCCATACTTTTTACACTAATATTGATGATAGTTGCCCACAAAGTTTGTTATATGTTATCACCCCACCTCTACAGAAGGTCACTAAGTCGACTGATTTTCTAAGGAAGAAAGCTGAAGTACGGAAAAGTCAACTTACCTGAAGTTACAGAAGCAGGAAGTATAGAGGCTAGGAAAGGAATCCAGTTCTCTGGCTCCAAATCCTCACTAACAGCCAAGCTGCCTGTTAAAATAAAGATACAGATGGCTAGGGATACAATGTTTAGACAGATGGCTAGGGATACAATGTTTAGGCAGATGGCTAGGGATACAATGTTTAGCACTAAACGTTGAACTGAAAGGATTACTCAGTCCAAGTAGCAGTGGATTCCAGTGGAAATAGCTTTGCTGGATTGTCACAAGAGGTGTGCCTCACAGAGTCAAGTTTATATTTTAGTCTTTTAAAAAACATAGTTTTATATTTTCTTATTTTATGTATACGAGTGTTTTGCCTGCATGTGTGTGCCTGGTTCTTACACAGGTCAGATCTGGAACTGGAATTATGCATGGTTGTAAGTCACCATGTGGATGCTGGGAAATGAATCCCAGTCCTCTGCAAGAGCAGCCAGTCTTCTTAACCCTGAGCTATCTTTCCAGCCCCAGAGTTCTTTCAAATGTTTAAAATTTTATTATTTATTTATTTATTTATCTATTTATTTATTAGGGGGATGTGTGGACCATAGAGCACATGTGGAGGTCAGAGGGCAGTTGGTCGTCTCCTCTACAATATGAGTTCCAGGGATTAAACCCAGGTTGTCAGGCTTAGTGGCAGGGGCTTTTACCCATTGAACCATCTTGCTGGTTCTGGGTTAGTAAGTTCTGTTTGGCTAAACTAGGGACCTTGATCCATGATTATCTGTTTGAGTTAAATATAATTATTTTCAGCTGTGTTCCCTTACCTACAATCTCAAAGGAAAGATGTGTCCTCTTGCCTCTCCTTGGCGGGGTCAATACCATAGATGGAAGAAGTGAAGTGAGGGGACACAGTGTGTTAATGACTTCAGCTCACTGGAATCAGAAGCTGGGAGTTGTCTTCTCCATTCAGCACCTTGCGTACTCTGGGCCTGACTCACATTTCTATGTTTGATCCATTATTATCAGGATCGTGAAACCCAAAATGGCCTCCATGGAGGAGATGGCCACCTTCCACACAGATGCCTATCTGCAACATCTCCAGAAGGTCAGCCAAGAAGGTGATGAGGACCATCCAGACTCCATAGAATATGGACTAGGTAAGGTTTTCTCAGGCAACAGTGGAAGGTCAATAGTCTCCCCACCCCCACCCCCGTAGTTATGTTACTTATGTTGGTCTCTCTCTATGCATATGTATAGTATATGTATGTATGTTTGTATGTGGCGCTGTACATGTGTCTGCTGGTACACATGTGGAACTAAAGGTCAACACTGGGTGTCTTCTTTAGTCATTCTACACCTTATTTTTTGAGACAAAGTCTCTCATTGAACTTGAACCTTACGATTTTGACTAGGTTGGCTGGCCAGTGATTTCTAAGACTCTAGCTGTCTTTGCTCCTCCAATGTTGGGTTAGTAGACTTCCATGCCTCCTACTTGTGTGGCAGGCACTGGACTGACTGAGCTACCTCCCTAACCCAAAATACTTTCTTTTTTTTCTTATCTTTATTTTAAATTTTATGTGTATCCATGTATGCCTGAGTGTAGGTATGTGCACCATGTGCATGCAGTGCCAGTGGAGGTCATAAGAGGCCTTAGATCCCTTGGAACTGGAGTTAGAGACAGTTGTGAGCTGACATGTGGGTTCTCAAAATTGAATCCAGGTCCCCTAGAAGAGCAACCAGCGCTCTCAACTGCTGACTCGTCTCTCCAGCCCTATACTTTTTAATTAAAAAAATACTATAACTGGTATGTGTATGTGTGTGTGTACACACTTATGTGCGTGTGTGTGTTACTGAGGATGGAACTCGGCCTTGAGTATGCTAACCAGGTACTCTGCCGTAGCAATATTCCTAGCCCCAACTGTTCATTTTAATCTCGTGATTTGATCATATTTTGTACACGATATAAGTTAACCACAACTGAAATGATGAGCCTGATGGAGAAGAATCCTTTTGATCCTGCAATCCTAACAGCAGCACTTAGGTCTACTCTGGA